AAAAAAACAAATATCTATATGTATGTTCGAGAAAAGAAAACCTACTGAAGGGACAAAATAGTGTCCATCCATCAATAAGATTAATTGAACTATTTAATTGTGGTGTTTGATCAAATTTATAAATAAATAAATAAGCAAGACTTCGATTTAAAGAATGAATTTCAAAATGAATTGAAATCGGAAGTGAACTTGTTATATTAATATAATGATAATTAAATAATAAATTATTAGTAGTTGAATTAATTGATGTAACATTTTGTAAATACATTGATGGAATTAATACATTTGGATCACGAGGAATAATCAGTTGGATTGGATTATTTTGATGAGCTGCAAAAGAAACGTCATTTCCATTTTGATCAATAATTGAAAGTGAAACTGATCTTGAAAGATTTGTATTTTGAAAATTTCCAAATGAAGCAAGTGGATCTACTCTTGACTGAATAAAATCAAAACTACTTTAATACGAAAATGATTCAAATTATAGAATATTACTCGAAGTGAAATTGAAGAATTAGACGTTGTGTTCAAAATAAAATCTGATGGAATATTAAATTGAGCATTTTCAACTTGTTTCACAAGTCTATCTTTGAGTGATTGAATCGATATAGTTTCTAATGACACAAATGATTGAGATGTATTCATTAGTGAACTTTGACCAATATTCAAATGAATATTTAATGAAGAAGTTAATAATGATATCATTTCTGTTACTTGACTATTGATTTGATTTGCTAATTGTTTTTGATAATAAATATTTCGATTTTTTTCGATTGTTTCAGTGGAAAAATCATTTCCATCAGAAAATAAATCTTTAAAAAAACAAACTCACATTCAATAATAATTAAATATATTAAAAGAATCTTACTTAAATTTGACCATGCAGATTCAAGATCAGTATCATAATCAGTAGATATGACATTTGCACGAGAACTATCTAAATCAAGTACTTCTGTTCGTCCTTGTAATGGCCCATTCACAGCCTAAAATTATCAGAATCGATAATTAAAGAAAAAAAGTTCTTTTTATGTCAAAATCATTGAAGGGTGTGGGTGTGGGTGCTGATTTCATCTCCTATCATCGTCCACACCCACAGCCTCAAGATTTTGATAGAGAAATGAGAATACTAATTTTATATATTTTACATTTAAAAGATTTGAAGCACATTGAAAAAGTTGATTTGATGCTGATTGAGCATCTTCATATGAGATCTTTTCAAATATTGCATTTAATGCAACAGATAATTCATAACATCGATTTGATACAAGCATCTACAATTATTTAAAAAAGTATAAAAGTTTTCAATAAAATTATTCTTTATAATTTTACTAAAGTATTTCGTGTTAATTGATTTGTTGCTTGAGTTAATTGAACTAATGATGATGATTGTAATATAATACTATTTGATGTTGTTATGAGAAGTTGAGTTATAAATGTTACTAGATAATCTCGAACATTTGCTAAAGAATTTAATTCTGTATTATAATTAATCAAAGCTGATTCATTGAATGGTATTGAAACCTATTTTAAAAAAGAAAAAGAATCGAAAAAAAATCTATTAAATTCAATTACTTGTTGTAAACTTTGACTTCCTAATGGTGATACTGAAATATTTACAGCTGGTATTCCATCTAAAACAATACTTATTTTAATTATTTCTCATAAATTGAATATTATTATTTACTTGATATGGCTTTATCTAAATTTTCACTATTCATTTGATTGAGTTCTTGTGATAATGAAATGATCATTTGTCCAACAACATTTTGATTTCCACTTGAAAGTAATCGAACAATTGCATTATTTGTTATTGTACTTGATAAATTTGTTACTTTATCAATTAAATCATTGATTACTATGAGATCTGCAACAACACTAACAGAAGATATATTCACTTGTGTAACAGAACCCACAACATCTCGAACGTAAACAACAAGATTGAGTAATGAAGTTTTACTATCACCAGCTGGTAATCGAACTTGAAAATTATATTCTGATGAAAATGCAATTATTGTTTGTTGTGATATGTCTGTTGTCCATGCTAAAATGTCAGAATATACAAAAGTCAGTTCGTAATGAAAACTATACATACTATATAACGAATAATCTCGTATTCCATCTACATCATACCAATCTGGGCACACCATAGTGAATAGAGTAGTCATAGTACCATTAAGAGGATTGATTGAACATGAACTATTTGAAGGCGGTTGATTAATAATAAAGTTCAATGCACTTGTACTTGTTTCAGATACAAATGTATAAACAACTTCAAAACGCCACAGACTTATTTGAAGATTATTAAGAAATAATTCATTTGTTGCGGTGAAATTACTTGTATTTGTGCCTAAAATAATCAGTGAATATATCTAATAATTAAAAAAACAAGATTTTTACCAAAAAACCAAATATTTTCATATGAACTTGTTTGATTAAATAAAGTCCATTGTGTATAGTTTGAAGATGTTGAATTGTCTGATCCTTGATAAATATTCCATTTAATACTTTCAAGATTTGTATAAGTTCCAATACAAAGAGTAAATAGAGCAACTTGTGTTGTTGGATTAAGAAGTTGAAATTCAAGATTTGGAACACACATTGTTGATATTACACAACTAAAACAAATACTTTTTATTAGGAGAATTCGATTAAAAACTCATAAATAATTTACCCAACAGCAATCAGTTGTGGGTGAGTAACTTCAACTGTAACAAATACGTAACCTGTTGCTTGAATAGAAGAATTCTTACGATTCTCCATATAGACCATAAACTGATAGATTTGATTTGATTGAAGTGAACCACCGAGAACTGTTAAAGATGAATTAGGTGATACAGTTAAATTTCCGAATATTAATCCTAATCTATTTCCTTTTTGAAAAATAATAAAAATGATTGAATTAGATTGCCATTAATAATTTTACCTGATCGATTTGACAAACATGATGGATTATAAGGATCAATTGTTGAATCATCAATTGATAATAATATTCCTTGTATATTTGGAAAATTATACAATTCATAAATTCGACAATAATACTTATATTTCCATTTCTAAAATTAAGAATAAACTAATAATTATTTCAATATTCACCTACAGTTATATTACTTACAGTTGCATCAAATATATTTTCATCAGGATCAACTGAAAATGTTCCAGGATCAAGTAAAAGATCTTGTTGATCACCTCGTGTTATCATAGATGTTCCTAATTGAACAAGATTTGCTGTTATACCTGTTGCAGTTATTCTCACATAAACTGAAGATGATGATTTTAAATTCGGTGAATCAATCATTGTTACAGTTAGTGTTAGTTGATAAACACCATAATCAAGAGTTCTTGATGGAATATAAAGTTCACTAAATGTTGTCATAACTTTTTCATTTAATACAATTGCAAATAAACAACTAGTTGAAGTACAATTTTTTATTGTCCATTTTTTAGTTGTTGAAAGTGAACCATCACAATTAAATTGGATCATTGAACTAATAGAAAAGTCTTGACTACGTCGATATGACATTGGAGATGATAGAGATGATTGTCCAGGAATCAATGTAATCGTCGGTGAATAACAAGCTAATTTAGAAAAGAAAAATCGATAAACTATTTTTTATATTATTCATATTATTACTTTCATTGATATGTAATCCTTGAGAAGTTGTTATCGAAGTCGTGCTTGAAACTAACGTTGAATCTTGTACTGTTGAAATGAATCCATCTAAGAATAATGATTAATCAAAAATTCAATCAAAATGATTCTGATCAATTTACCTTCGTGAATTTGTGTTGTACTTTCAGCATCAGTCGTTTGGATAATACTTGTGGCACTACTACTGCTACTGCTTGTAGTACTACTGCCAGTGGTGGTCGTGGTAGTAGTGCTACTTGAGGTACTGCTGCTGCTCGTTGTAGTACTACTGGTCGTGGCAGTAGTGCTACTTGAGGTGCTACTGCTGCTCATAGTAGTACTACTTGTGGTGCTGCTGCTACTCGTTGTAGTACTAGCAGTGGTAGTAGTAGTGCTAGTGGTAGTGGTTGTGGTAGAACTACTTGTAGTACTGGTGCTAGTAGTAGTAGTGCTACTTGAAGTACTACTGCTGCTTGTAGTAGTACTGGTCGTGGTACTGCTGCTGCTCGTTGTAGTACTAGTGGTGGTAGTAGTAGTGCTGCTTGTAGTACTTTCACTGCTGGTAGTAGTACTACTTGTGGTAGTGGTAGTAGTAGTGCTACTTGTGGTACTGCTGCTGCTCGTTGTAATACTAGTGGTACTGGTTGTGGTAGTGCTAGTACTACTTGAAGTACTACTGCTTGTGGTACTGCTGCTGCTACTCGTTGTAGTACTGGTGATGGTAGTAGT